AGGTTCTGCTAATAAGTTAGGTTATAAAGAGCTTTCCTAATATCAAAATTTTGTAAGGAAAACTTTTTGTTAGTGCGCAGAAGATGGTTTCATAGATAAAATGTTGAGTTATGAGCGATTTTTTGGTTTGATTTTTTTTGCGTTTCTTCTGCGTCACACCTGATCTTGAAATCTAATTGGCCAGCGAGGATGAACATTGTTATTTCGAATAATGGCCCGAATTAAGCTTAATTTAGGCCAAACCCAAATTTACACCCCTACGCGTTATTTGCGCTTATACGGTAGGTTTTAAAATTGGCAGTTAAAAGTTTTAAGTAACAAAATTTAACTACATTTTCTCAAAGCTTTGATATAAAGAAATACTTTCAATCCCTAACTCAATAGCAAATTCCGTACCTTAATCTAATAATGTAAATTTTTACTTTGAAAAATTTTGAGTGGCAAATTAACCAGGGTTACGCTCATGGGTGTTATTTCAGTATGCAAGTCTCTTGTATAAGCACAAGTCTGATAATTGGGGGTTGGTCGAATTACTGATTATTAGTACTTATTCCTATTTGTATTATCCCAGATTATAGACCCGGGTATAGTACGACGGTTTACGGTAATTCAGTAATTATTATGATTATACGTAAGAAAATTGATTACTGATTGATTACATACGTACGTACGTTTGTACTGATTAATAATTTATAATAGGTACGTACGTACGTACGTACATAGCTATTAAAGAAAGATTATATCACATAATTAAATTTAATCAGTCAAATTGATTTGATAATTTTTGATTTTTAATCTTGAAGGTTTTTTTTTTTTTTTTTAAAATCAAAAAATCTCGATAGTTTATTAAATCAAAGTAGAATAAAAAAATGCACTGCATATAAACAAGAATGAATGCTTTTTAGTTTGAACTAAAAATTGTCAGAAAGTACCAAATATCGATTTTCTTAGCAAATAACCCAAATTGCTAATTACATATAATTCAATTTTTACTAATAGATGATACTACTTTATTCTTTTTATTAAACCTACTATACAGTTGTCGACCTTTTTACTAAAAATAATAATAATAAATCAAAGTAAAAAAGTCCAACCTTCTCTTATATGCGTTAATCTGCCTGACTTTTATATAAACTAATGCCAAACCATATCAGTCCACGTTAGTAACATAAAGATAAAGCAAACTTTGTACAAATCATGGTTAACAATAAAACAGTAAGAAATATAATCATAATAATAATAATATCCTACTCCATTGAAGTATTAGGTAATATACAGTCGTTTTGTATTGCATCATTCTCCTCGACAACCTTTCCAAGCTATTCATGATTCGTTATAAAAATTAGTTTTTTTTAAAGTTATAAATTAAAAGGTTATGAAGACAAAAGCTGATGGACTTACCCGGAAATCCACAAATAGATGAAATAGTAAAGTACACGATAAACTATAATTTTAAATATCTTATAAGTATAACTGAACAAAATGATAATAGTAACTGGGTAATTAGATAGCTTACTAAGGTGACAAATCCTATAAGGATCAATAATTTGGTATTTTTCCACCACATTGATCGCTGTTTGAATTCAATTAATTATTTAGCGAACAACTAAAATAAAACAAAGGTTAGGTTATGTTAAAATAAATACCCTTAAAGCGGTGCTTCGTTTCTTGAAAACGAATGCTTGTTGGTTAAGATTATCTGTCTTGTCTACCAATAGTTCTATTCTTTCTCCACGTTCTAGAACACGTTCTATGAAAAAATATTCAATTAAATATTATTTCAAGTTATTTTATGAATGTTTATGAAATGTCAAATCATTAGAAGTATTTACCAATATTATCAACCATAACAACTTTAACTTGCTCGATTTCGCCATGTACTTTTTTAAGCTTGTCAGCTTCCGGATTAGTTGAAAAATATTCCTATAAAACATATATATGCAAATAAGAAAATATAATTGTACTGGTGAAAAAAAGGGCTGGTGATCCGACTAATGTACCATTTGTTTTGCAATAACTTTGGCAAATTCGTTTAGACCATAAGTTGTTGCCTCGTCAATTCTTTCTTTGGAATAAGTGTTTAAAAACCGTTCCTTAATGTCCTGCAAAAAGGCAAATGGAACCCGTCGCCCAAAACTGTCATCTGCCATACACATGTACGTAAGTCCATCTTCGCAAATGTAGTGGAACAAGTATCTTGAATAATCATGATAGTAATAATAAGACTTGATAGTTTAATACTTGTC